AGGATCACTACTTGACCGGCAGAGGCAAGCTGGTATTGTCGAATAGGTTCATCCTCTTCATCCTCTTCATCTGACTTTCCCTTAGGTGGCGCGAGTTCTTTGTATGCAAGAAGGAAGGGCGCTGTACGCATTTTCCTCCACAATTCTTTGTCTCGGTGGAGTGTTGGGGATGCTTCTGCCAAGGATTTAAGAAGATCCAGGTACTTTTCCGAACTCTGCAAAACACCGAGGAGACGGGCTGGCTCACTGCATGCCATTTGTGCAACCTCCAACTTGGTGGGCTCACTTTTGGCACCGCATTGGAACAAGAATGCATTCGCCTCAGGACCAAAGTCGACAAAATCGAAGATGTCTCCATATGTGGTCGAAGCCCCAAGGTACACCCGTGAAGGACTGACATAAGTCATGGAAGAAGCTGATTTCTCAGACGACCGAGTAGTCCTTGTGATAGGAACTATCGAGGCGTTACGCAATTTCACCAGGGTATTTTCGCCGAGTTCTGTGATTCGAGAGGCGAAATAGCTGAAAAGTGCCACAGCATTCTGATGATCTTGAGGACGCGATGCTAATAGGCGGTTCACACAGTCCACCATTGGCGGATCTCGTGCAACACCGAATTTCTATAGATGTTAGCTAAGTCTTTGTCAGGTTTTAGATCAAACTTACAATGGCATGATCGTGTAGATCTCTCCTCAAAATGTTAAACCCAAGGATAGACGCGCGCGGATTGTAAAAGCACTGCGAAGGCGGTACAAGACGGGTACTACCCTGAAGAGGCATGATTGCCTTAGGACTGCCACCGAGCTGGAATGACCCGTACCCATTGATCTGGTGGTTGGCGAGGAAATATGTCATAGACGAAACCCGAAGATTTTCATCATTGCCAGACATCAGCTCAACGAGTTCAGGGACAGATGGATGAGGCCGTAGTCCAAGAGAATTTATGAATCGAGCTTCTGGGCTTCCAGGTCGATAGCTACCAGGAGGCCCTGGCCATTGGAGGATAGGTAATCGCAATGCACGCAAAGAGTCCTTAGGCTCGAATAGCTCCGAAACCTTGTAAAGCGTTGTCGTTCCCTTGGTGGACTCCATGCCCTTTGGACCAGCTTCGGCTGGGCAAAAGCGTGTTTGCTTTAGTCTGCTCAGGTCTTCACCTGGAATATCCTCACGGACAGATGCTAAATATTTGATGAGTTCCATGTGACTCCATTTCTGATGACCCTCACTAGAGGCGTTCAACAGCCTGGTAAAGATGGTCTCTAAATCTACAGTTTTGCGGACGCCAATAGTGACCAGAAATTTCTCTTTGATCTTCTCGCAGCCTTGAATGACCGGAAGATCGTCAAAAAGCTTGACAATCGGGAAGAAGGACTCAGTGGGCTTTCTCATGCCCTGCTTCGTAGGTACAACTGTGTTTGCTTGAAGAAGAGAAACAATGGTGGTTCTTGCGTTCGGGCTCGAGTTTTCAAAGTTCTTCCCAAGGACAGTCAGAATCTGAATAGCAAACTTGGATGATTGAGTCAAATTCTGTTCCTCGGGTCTAGAAGAATTTGTGTCCAGAAGGAATCTCAACCATGGGAGAAGTTCTAGCGGCTCCCATCCTAGAGCACGCAATTCAGCCTGTTGAGAGTTGGCAGTGAGCGCATGAGGGATTGTTGTAGGAGGAATGGGCAAATTGGCAGGAATCCTGTTCGCGATAAGATGATTCCGAATGCTACCGAGGGCAATGATCTCGCCTTGTTCCCCGTCATCACTCATCGTGCCAACAGCTACTTCTAGCAAAGCAGATCGACTGCCAGGATCGAGCTCACCACTTAAACTCTTCTTGCCTGCCCAACTAATGAAGTTCATCAATTGAACTTTGTTCATGGCCTTTGTCTCCAGCTCCTTCTTCACATCTGTGACCGTGATGTGTGAAATGAGACCGAAGTCTATGAGCTTTTTCACAAATGGAACACCCTTCATCTCCTCTGGTACAACAGGGATGCTGTTGACGAATTTGCTCATCTCATCCGAAGCAATGCGCACATCGACTGTTTGCAACACGCCTCGTGTTGAGTAGGTCTCGATTGAGGCCTTCTTAAAGCACATCCAAAAGGCTTCCTCGATAATCTGACCAACTTGACCGCTGGGAGTTGAGTCCTCAAATGTGAAGGTCTTATGAATGTGAAGAGCTTCTGGCATGAACTTGGCGATGACTGCGGGAGAGAATTTGGCCTCTTTGGCCATAGCCTGTTTGATTCGGCCACTCAGGTCACTCATCTCGTTGGCAAAAGCAAGCCGAGTGATGATACCAGCAGCACGAAGAATTTCAAGGTTCCATGTCCTGACCCAACGAGCATTCAAGTCGATAGCCTCTCTTTCCACCGTGGGAATCACTGACGGTGCTGAAATATGGAGTCCAGCTCCGGTAGTCTGCATGGTGGGAAAACCAATGAAGATACGTCCACCCGGCTTTTTATTGGGAAGCACAGATGCAAAGACATCTGTAGCTTTGCCAAGCGCCCCCGATGTTGCGGTCTCTTGAGAAGCTTGAGTCTCATCATAGGACGAAGTTAAGATGGCGATTTTGGTTGTCTTTGGCGGGGGTTTCTTTGTTGCCCTTTCGAGTTCGGAAGCAAACGACGAGGCTACGCTTGTACGGATGCTTGCAGAAGTCGCCCGAAGGAAGATTGTGGAGGATGAAAGCTTAGTCACATCTTCGGAAATCGTCACTTGCGCAGCATTCTCCTCGTGCTGTGCTTTTGTCCTAATGCCTGCCTGTGAAGCACTTGACGTAAGACGGGCAAAGAAAGATCTCAAGGAAGGAGTTTCAGGGGCGCCGTAGGACTCGTTCTTTGTGGTGGATGCCGTGGCTTGCGGTTTCCATCCTATAGCTGCCATGTAAGACGCATCGATCTGCGTGCTTGTGCGGTCAACACTAGTAACCTTCATTAGGCCATCTTTTGTCCTCGCCTCGAGGTCGCGAGGAAGAGGAAGCTCAACACTCGGGGATGACTTTTTCTTCAGAGACAGAATCTGGTAGTCATCAATCCAGAACTCAATGTGCTCGAGCGCCACAAAGGTCAAACTCGTCGCAAGGAACTGGCTAACAGACAGCAAGTTTGGGAGGGGGGTGGTTGTATTCCTGTAGTCGAGGACGAAGGTTGTATGATGGGTAGCTTGATCTGCTGGAATTTGAGACTTCTTTGTGAAAAGTGCATTTCCCTTCCAGTAGAATGCCATGGCCTCATTGCCGGAGCTGACGAACGGCTCTTCGCAATCAGCGAAGACACTGTAGAAACCGACACCGAAGGCGCCGATCTTCGTTTCATCGGGGTTGCCCTCGGCAATACGCTTTAGCCTTCCCCAGTCTGTCTTTGTGAATGGTTGTCCATCGTTCTGCACGACTAATCGGCGTAGTGTGTGGTTTGACAAGGTGTGTTTCAGTATCTCGGATCGGCTCGTGGTATTCGGTAGTGGCACTTGTGTTGATGGGAGAGTTTCCCATTTGACGCTCACCGTCTTTGCCTGGGCATCCGCAGCGTTCTGAATCAGTTCTCGCAATGTTGTCCATTCGCCCGAGTATCGCGCAAGAACTTTGTCGATAAGAGCTCGAGTATCGACGGTAACGGCCTCCTCGTCTTCGCCATCGCGGAGAGCGGCGGCTCGTAGTCTTGAATAGTCCATCGTAGTAGAGTTATGATGGCTTACACCTGCATTATTGTGTCGACGGAAGGGTAAGGATTTGAAAAAATGTATGTCCAGAAAAGAGAAAGAGACACCTGTAATCTATTGTTCGTTAGTAATGATACTTTCTTGAACGAATTTAAGGAAGTGGTCTCGGAGTATAAGCAAGGCAGACAGCGACTACGTACAACGGTGAGGAGTGGCAAGCGGTATTAGGCTTTATCGAACCCTAAGTATATAGGGGGATTTGTCAGAATCGCAATAGGAAGCAAACTGTGTGGCAAAAGGGGATGGCGTTGAGAAATCAGAAGTCTAGTTAGGAGGTATGAAGATGGTTTCATCGTTCATATCATCTCAAACTCGTGGTAGAATAAGACCCCGAGGCTGTTAGAGGTGGTCCCTTGAAAGTGACGTTATCCACTGTCTCTGGCCAATCAAGATGAATATCGGCTCACACCATCACCATATCGCTGGGAGGATATAGTGATCTGGGGCAGCCTCGCCGCTAAGTCCTATGATCATCACCACTAATTTCTATGGTAGATTACTGGGCCTCAGCTAGGCCTCGCATTCCCGTTCGTACAAAAGTCCGATTACTTTGGGATGGTGGATCTTAGGTTTCATTAAAAAAATAGCTATGACTCGCTTCCTATCAAGGAATTGCAAAACCTGTAACTGAAATCTATTTCGGTAAATTCTGAGGTCGTTTTTGTAGATACTGTGTAGTTCGTTGGCCGAAGTCTTGTAAGCGAATCATTCGTTTTGATAGGTAGGGCTGGGTGCGTGCATGCCAGAGTAAGGATTTTGCTTTTTGTATGGGATAATAGTATTTCGAAGTGAGTCGAATTCGTAGTATATAATATATTCCATTCACCTCTGCCCATTTGCTCACTCTGAAAATACTTGCACACACCGAAGCTTGCTGCTTAACATCACCAGTTCTCTTCATCTTGGTCTAAATAACAGTAAACCTCACAACAAAACAACCTCACAATGTCAAAAGGCCGTGTCTGTCGGTAAGTTTATATGCCGTTGATAACAGGCTGCTGATATAAATAAATATAAACATCTGCTAACTCTTGGTTGCAGTGCCTATTTGGAGGAAATACACTTCTGACTCTTTCTCCAAACTGCAGCTGTGTTGATCAAATGTGAGGTTGATTGCTAACATTTAGCGAAGGTCTCGATACCTCGACTATTTTGAAATGGCTCATTCTCGAGGGCTATGAGGATGTGGTATGTGATCCTCCTCTAGCTGCTTCTACAGGTTCAGCCTGACATACTTTAGTGTTGCCTCGCCGATGTTGGTTAGGTTGAGGACTTCGATGCTGTCAAAAAAGAAGGCCCTCGTTCTCGGCGCGGAGCGCATGATCATCGAAAACCTTCAGAAGGAGTTCGTCGAGCAGATCGTCTTCCGAGCAATCCAATGCAATGCCATCTATGACTGATACCTTCTTGGAACTGCTCTGGCCCGACCTGTCATCGCTCGCGCCCAGGTCCGCGTTGCTGAGAAGTACAACTGCAATCTTCTGAGCCATGGCTGCACGGGCAAAGGCGTAATTAGAACCCTCAGACTTTGAAAACCACCTGCTAACATGCCGCAGAACGAGTATGGCACTTTCCATCACGAAAAAATCCAATTCATAGATCACTGACAGAACCCCTTAGCCAAGTTGGTTTCGAGCTCGCCTTCAAGGCTTGCAACTCTTCCATCAAGGTCATCGCCCCCTGGCGGCTCCCCGGATTCTGTGAAGAGTTCCAAGGTCGACAGGATGTCCTCAAGCTCGCCGCCGAGAACAACATACCCGTTTCATCGACCCCCAAGGCTCCTTGGAGTCAGGACGAGAACCTCGTCCACTGCTCGTACGAGGCTGGCATTCTCGAAGACCCTGATCATACCCCTCCTAAGGACCTTTGGACTCAGACTGTCGATCCTCTCGAGGCTCCCGACAAGCCTCTTGACTTCACCGTATACTTCGAGAAGGGTCTCCCTGTCAAGGTTGCTACCCCTGACCAACAGGCCACCGACTCGGTAGAGTTGTTCAAGCTGCTCAACAAGATTGGCCACGACCACGGCGTCGACCGAATTGACATGTATGCCAACTTTCACCGTTGGATTATGACATAACACGATGCTTACAGTTAAATAGTGTCGAGAACCGATGGACTGGACTCAAGAGCCGAGGATGCTACGACACCCCTGGTCTCACCATCGCCCGCCTTGCTGACGTCGGTCTCGAGGGTCTTGTCCTTGACTCCAAGGTCCGCAAGCTTCGAGACAAATTTGTGACTATCGAGTGGTCCCAGTGCCTTTACTATGGCATTTCTCTCCTGAACGTGAGCGGCTCGATGAGGCAATCGTTTCTGCTCAAAAAAGTATCAACGGTCAGGTCCACCTCCGTGCGTACAAGGGCAATGTTTATGTCCTTGGATGATCCAGCGAGACCAGCAGCCTCTATTCCCAGGATGATACTTCAATGGGCAGTCTTGACACCTGTTCTCCCATGGACAGCACTGGCTTGATTGCTATCCAGTCTATCCGATTAGAGAAGTATGGTGCGCAGAAGGCTAAAGATGGCCAGCCCCTTAGCCAGTCTTAATCTTGGAATATTATGAATGCAAAAACAATGGTTTGCTATGGCGTTTGGTCAGGGAGGGAGCTTTAAAAGTATGCAGACTTCCTGTTGTATGGGAAGCGCAAAGAATTGACTTCTTGATTTGCACGCAAGATGGATACAAATGCTGACTTGACGCTTTTCTTTAATTTCTCTGGAAGGGGTATCTCATATTCGACAGTTTTTGAGTTCAAGGCCAGAAGTTGTGACTTTAGTCTCGACGATGAGGTCTAGGGCTGGCACTGCGCCTGCGTCTATCTCTCGATCTTGATCGGCGGCGCTCCCTGCTCCTATCCATGTATCGTCGTTCGTCTTCCTCAGTACCTCTCCTTCGATGACCCTCACGGTGGCGTCTATGGCCATGGCTACTTTCCTTATCACCATCCCTATCTCTGTGTCTGTGCCTTGGTCTGTCTTCATCTCGTTCTCTGTCTCCATCACGGTCGCGACTTCGGCTCCTCCTGTGTCGTCGATGGCGGCGCTCGCGATCGTGAACGCGATCGTGACTTCGATGTCTTCGACGTTCTCGCCTGTCGGTATCGTCATGACGTCTTGAGCTTTCCCTCTTTTCGTTCACAGCTTCCCCAGGAGGGCCGCTTTCCGGGCCAATCTTTCGTTTACTGGGATCAACCTCTACTGCGTTCGCACCGGAAGAGTTCCGTACGGGGGGTGGTAAGCCTAGGGCTTTTGCGATAGCGTCCTCCTCAGCCTCCTTGATTTTGCGCAATTCTTCCTTTCGTTCTCTCTCTCGGCGCTCCTCCTCCGTCTCACCATCTTCATTGGGTTCTCCAGAATCGTCCTCCGCTTTGGCATACCAGTTGAGATCGCGGCCCTTTTGCCAGCGTCCAACAGGTGCCTTGAGACTGTGGCCGAGATAGTTTTCGCGGTGTGAAGAGCTTGCGACCTCATCCCAGCTAAAGTTAACGCCTCCTCTTGAACCGGTCTTGCGAATACTTGAAAGCAGATCCATGCTGTGTTTTGGTGCTGATGGCCTTATCTAGATGAGGACCCTTTGTGATGTCGATGTGTGGATGATTTTCTTTTCGTCGTTGTGAACTGCGAGGATTGTGAGGTTGAAGGTTAGAAGTTGAAATTGATGCGCGGCGCCTCTTACTGGACGGGTCGCTGGAGCGGAACACTGCCGCCTTGTAACGCGTTAGAAGCGGAACCCCACGTCAAATAGAGCTGGAGCTTCAGTACGTTTCTTGAACCTTCACACTGAACGAACTCCAAGAACATATTACCATCATAGCAACAAATACAACAAAGGAACCTACCTAAACAATACTAACGCAATAATCTCGACTCCTCATAATGTCGAATCCAAACGATCCCCCCCTCGACGAGATCCAATGGCGCTCTCCCATGGCGATTCAACAAATGGGCGGCCTGCACAATAATACCATCCTCTTTTACTTCGCAGAATCGCCCTTTTTCGAGCGCACATCGAACAACGCCGTTGTATATAACCAAGCCATGAACGTACCATCGATGTATCCAGTCATTCAGACGCGCGAAGCTTTCGAGACACATCTCAACACCATGTCAGGGCTTGAGTTCAGGGTTGTCGAAGAGCCTGCTGAAACTGGTCCTGGAGCCGGTACAGGTGTATGGGTCATTCGCAAGCAAACGAGACGAAAGTCAGCCTATGACGACGACGAGATTACTGTTCACGCTACGTACTTTGTTGTGGGGGAGAATATCTATATGGCGCCAACTCTCAGTGCCATTCTTTCAACAAGAATTGTATGTTCTTTGCAGCAGTTGTTTTGTGAACAGTTCTAACCTCACTGTGATAGTTGACGATATCTTCGCAAGTTACCAACGCCGTGACAACTGCTGAGTCAGTCAGAAAATGGGGCCCCTCTATGGGTAATTTTTACCAGTTCCCATCAGCCAAGACATCAGCAAAACCAAGGATCCAGAACTCTGCAGCGGCGACCCCGATGCCTGTATCAGATGAAGCTAGCAAAGGTCCGGCTGCCCCTGCAGCAGCCGCGCAGAAAGATGATGAGAAGTCGCTAGAAAGACTAGCGGAAGAGTCTTTCATGATTCACATGAAGTACGGGGGCGAATACATTGACGAGAACCCTATTACAGGTCGCCCAGGAGAGTTTCACCTCACAACAACGGGCCGCAAACCACCACAAATCGCAAAGACGGATGGCCCTATTAGGAGTATCAATGCGCCGACGATCAATACAAAGATCGATGATAAGAAGGAGAGCAAGGAGAGTAAGGAGAGAACACCTAAATCAGCGACTGCTCCCAAGCCTAAGCGTAAGAAGAGCAAAATGGCAAACTCTACTAGCACACCAGCTGCGTCTTGAGTTATTACCAGCAAGAGCGTGGCGTTGACCTGGGGAAAAGTGATGTTTTTAGTTTTATACAGGAATTTGATACCCCAATAGAGTTCATTATTGTGCCCTTGTCATCTGTGTTAACGTCCCTAACTCATAGTATAGCCTGTTTAAGGCATAATATATTCTCACGAGTGTCTGGTTTCCCTAAAAGACCAAGGTTACTTCCAACATTGACAATGGAACCTCTAAACCCAGGCCGTCCATCATGAGTAACTCCAACATCTTGATTGATCATATATTTTAGCTGTTCTCTCGCCAACAGCCACAGGCCACGGAAGCTGGTATTTATAAGTGATCGAATTCAGGGGTGGCTTCATGGCTCTTCTTTGTTGGGTCGTAGATTCCTTTCCAAAGCCATTGTAAGTAAGAGACAGTAAAACAGTATATAGACATACCAGCACAGTTGTCGGCATGCTTACACAATGACACCGAGATCACCCAATCACACAACACGTTGACTGCCGAGATGCATGAATTCAATTTTGTGTAAACCACGAGGTATCTTGTCTATTTCAAGATTAAATTATCGAAAGTATCTCTCATATCTGTAACGTCTACTCCACAACCCATCCCTTGCCAGGAACCTTTCTCTGCTTCACCTTCTTCGCGGGTAGAGGCCATCCTTGACCACCAGTGCTCTCGGCTCTCAAATATGGAACCACGAAGCACTCCCGTACTGTAGCTCCATCCGTGCCCTTTGTAGCCTTGAGCTCCTTGATCGGCTTGCCGTAGGTGATAAGGGGCGTTCCCTTGGCCAATCCTGCTAGTTGCCCGCCAGTTACGTCTGTAAGGGCATGCATTCTTGTCTTGGGACGCTTCTCTGCATCAACTGATTGCGCAGCTCGCTGTAGATAAGAGTAAACGATGTACTCGGGGCATTCCTGAATACTAATGTGGGCAAGAGGTGAGGTGGGATGGATGTATACTGCACGGTCGCTTTCAACCTCCTTGCCAGCATGGATAGGAATCAAGGGGATATATGGAACATCGATGGACCGGCGAGGCTTGCGAAATTGCTCAGGAGGGTTGGGTGTAAGATCTGCTCGAATAGCAACCTGATCCACGAAGCCGGCCGCGACCATTTGCTTCAGCGCAGCGACCTGTTTGGGAGATGGGGGATCCAGCTTGTCCTGGTATTTCAAGTTGGTAAAAGCCGAAACATTTGTCCTCAACAACTCTGTGATTTGCCGTCGCAACTGCTGTATTTCCTTAAGCACCTTGTATCGAACAAAATGACTCTCACACCATTCTTCTGTAGGCTCATGCGCAAACTCACCCACGACTTGCAGAAGTTTGATAGCATCGGATTTATCATCTAGGTAACAAAAGTTCTTGTGAACTTCGTTAAACATCTTTCGCACATTGGCTTGACGATCTTCGGCAATGACATCTGATGTTGTACGAATAGCGGTATCATCCTTCGCTGCGAGCGCAGGAATTGCTTGGTTCTCAGGCATGAAGGTTTCGGCGGCTGATAAACCAGCAACAAGAGCAATTGTGTAGTGGATACAGTCATGAAGATGGCCAACTAACAATATGCGCGCAAACCTGGGAGACAGAGGGAACACAGACATGGTTTGACCAATCTGCGTAACTTGTCCTGCCGAGGAGATAGCAGATAGATATGTCAACAGTTTCTCAGACTTAGCAAGGGCTCGTCGATCAGGTGGTGTGGGAAAGGGGAAATTGACAACATGCTGCAGGTTCATCGCCTTGAGCTGTAGCACGATACCCTCAATAGGCATTCGCAACAACTCAGGGTCGGTGAAAGGTGGGAAATCTCTCTCATATACTGCAGAGGAGTAGAGCCTGTAACAATGGCCAGGACCGGTACGGCCAGCACGACCAGATCGCTGGTTTGCGCTGGCTTTGCTGATCCATCCAATATCGTAGCTTTGAACTCCACTTAGACGATCATACTGTCTCTCTTTTGACCGTCCGCAGTCAAAGACATATCGAATACCAGGAATAGTCAAACTGGTTTCCGCAACGTTGGTTGCCAAGATGATGTTTCGTGTACCCTCAGGTGCTGCCTCAAAGACTCTCATCTGCTCGCGTGTTGGAAGCAAAGAGTAAAGAGGTAAAACTCGCATCTTTAATGGTGCAACCTCCTGGTCCTCTTCGATCTGGAACTCATCCTCATCGTCTTCGTTTTCGTCATCTGTAGGTATCTCATCAAAATCATCGCCATTACGGTCATCCACGTCTCCAAACTCAATATCCTCGACCTCAATGGGAGCCTCGCTAGCAGAAATTTGTACTTTGGGTCCATCCGCGGTCTTTGGACCGCCAAATGTAGCCTTTAGCTTCTTGCTGAGCTCTAGGATCTCGTTGCGGCCAGTTAAGAACACAAGGATATCACCAGGTGGTAATTTCTTGTGACCTCTGCAAATTTTTCTGAAGGCCTCTTCCACATAATCATGCTGAGTTCTTCGGGAGAAATGAATGGTGACAGGATGTTGTCGGCCCTCAACCTCCAATACTGGCGGTGGAGTAGCAAACAGTGTCGGATTCATGGTAAGATCTTCTATCCGCAATGTAGCAGACATGATGATGAGTTTCAAAGGTTTGACCGTAGGATCCTCTGCTGCTAGCTCAGCTCGGAGCTTGATAACTCGGCTGAGCATACCAATCAATATATCCGTGTTGACGCTTCTCTCATGAGCTTCATCGATGACAATGGCCGAATACTTCTTCAGTGTGATATCCTGCGCAACTTCTCGTAGCAAGACACCATCAGTCATGAACTTGATGGCCGTTTTAGGATCAACTGTGCCCTCAAAGCGGATCTGGTAGGCCACCACCTCAGACTTATCACCAAGTTCCTCACCAACTCGCTTCGACATACTGACAGCAGCGACTCGACGGGGCTGAGTGATGCCAATCATACCAGGCGTTGGCGAGTCGGGCGAACCATAACCAGATTCATACAAGAACTGAGGAATTTGAGTAGTCTTTCCGGAACCTGTGGAACCGCAAACAACGACAATGTCATGGTTATGAATTGCTTCCATTATCCTTTGTTCCTCTGATACCACAGGAAGTTTTAACCTAGCCTCTTGGACTTCTGGTATTCTCGTAACCGTCACGCTGTAAACCTTTCGGTTGATATTCTGCGTTGGTTGCAGTTCCATCGGTAAAGGATCTTGCTCAGGGGCTCGGGGAACAAAGTTTTCTGGCTTGGGTAGTTCAAGATTTGTTGTGGTCCCCTCGATGGATTTATAACCTAGAGCTTCGTTTCGTTGTTGGTGTGCCCATGCCTTGAAAGACGATGACCTCTGTGCTTTGTTCTCGTCTGCGTCTTCCATGTCCTCATCAGACTCTTCGGGTTCCTCACTGGATTCATCTTCTTCTTCCTCATCGCTTTCGTTGTCATCCTCGGCGATGTTATCCTTGTCAGCCGAGTCGTCGCTGAAACCATTCCACTCGTCGCTATCGCTATCACTTGCAACACTGTCGGCTTCTTCCGACTCGAGCTCAAGTGGTGTTTCGACTGGCGCCAGGGAGAATTTTGATTTGACTCCGCCTCGCTTCTGGCGCTTTTTGATTACCGGTCGTCCTTCGTCGTCGACCTCGAGCGGTCTCTTCAGACCCGAACCAATTGTTGGCGCAGAGGTTTCTGTTTTCGGTTGATCTGACTCTTTGGGTGTGGGTGTGGGCGCGGGAGTTGAGGTGGGCTTGGATGACTCTTGTTCGTCGGGCTCAGATTCGTCACTCTCATCGCTCGGGATCTCTTCATCCGCATTCAGCTCTTTTCGCTTCTCGAGAAGAATCTCGTTTCTCTCCTCCTCGCCACCCTCCAAACCAGCCTTCTCTTCTCTCATAGCCCGCCTCAATGCCTCCTTCTTGGTTTCGCGACCCTGGCCAAGAACTCGGCTGCTCGAGAACAAGGTTGTGTCGATTTGTTGCTCAGCAAGTTTGGCCATCAGCTCGCGGGACTCATCCTTGCGCAGCTTGCCCTCAATATATTTCTCTAATCGCTTGGCTTTTTTCCCGCTCATCTTCGCGCCTTCTTGGCGGAGCTCTGCCTTCATCTGTGCCTTTCTGGCCTCACGATCAGCCTTGGCCGTCGGCAGGAGAATCTCCTGGTTTGGATTATCCTGGATTTCATGCTGAGCATTCTCCTTGGCTCGTTCACGGGCGAGAACTTTGTGCTTGCGTTGACGAGGAACGTATTTGGCCATTTTGAATATTGTTTGAATTATTGTCTAGCGAATTGACAATAATTTTTGCGAAAATGGCATGAAATATTGATACGTTGGAGGATACACCCAAGGCGCAGATCCGACGATGAATTTCATGAAATTTTGGGATCAAAGTCGTTCTGCCGTAAATTACCGCTAGAACCTGAACCTGCTTTAGGTATAGTGCGGGGTGGTGGGGCCGCCTAGCTCAGCGGCATGGAACTAGCTCGAATGGGTTTCAAAGCTACAGCTAAACTCTACTCAAGCATAATACTTCTTCAAACATGGCGACTGTTGATGTTAGGGAAGACTCTTTTCCTTCGAGATCTAGAGAGGTTTCAGGTCTCGTGAATGGCATAGCTACAGAGGTTGCATACACCGGTTTCGCCGACAAGATACTCATCACTATCTCCCAAGAAGGTCGACTTTCACAATGGGTAATTGAGTACTCCGAGTCTTCAAGCTCTGCCATAGCTGACACCGTAACAGATACAAGTTCCCTTAACAGGGTCATCATCTGGAGTTGTTGAAATGAATCTTCCCAGCTCAAGCAAAGGCCTTCTTCCATCAACACATCTCACACCAATAACGCTATTTGGCGGAGGGGGTGAGGAGCGTGAAACTCTCGGTCAACTTTATGCAGCACAAATTGCCAGCCAGATTTGTCTCAGATCTCCTGACGACCGACGAATACTGGTCCTTGGACTTGGGCTTTCCAAAACAGACTTGGACCGTGAGGCTTTCTTTGATCTTTTGGAGCTTGCCCAGAAAGTGTACTCGATTTGAGCTCTGTGTGCCGCTTGAGGTCTTCAGAAAACCATAGTTTTGCTCAACGAATTTGAGAGCTCAAAAACTCGCCGATGCTACACATCACATCGCTTTCACTGGGCATATTCGCCTCCGAGGCGAGTAGCTCTACTGCCGTGATGTTGGCCCTGTTGTTGGATGTCGTCCCAACGGGTACGACTGTGGGACGGACAGCTTTTTCACTGTTCAGGCGAATGGTTTGCGCTTGCTTTTCGTTCGTGGAAGTTGGGGTTGATACCTAACTGGAGTTTTAATAGTTCGAGTCCATGTCGCATGGTCTATGCATCCCGATTACTTTAACTAAGTTACCTATTATAGAGGAGCATAAGCATCGAGCTAAGATTTCTCAATTGAAACTGCCTGTTCCAATAAGTGAAAGGTCTGCAGACTTCAAGGCAATCGCAAGATTAATCGAGAACTATCACCTGGTGCATTACGAGGTGTTGGCTGTCGAAACATACGAGCAGAAGTTATATCCTGTGGCACCTTGTCGATCATGGTGTGGTTATATTTTTGGTAGAACAAATATCCCCACCTTCAATAACGCTGGCAACTGTAAACTAAAACTCTCAACCTTTAAGAAAATATACATTGATGTAATAAAGAACACCCCATATCTCTTTACATCCGTTCCTGCCATTGACCTCTGTCAATGATGCAGCGATCTTCCTTATTTGTCCTTGCTCATCCTGCCTGATTTATTATGATGGTTAGCACATCGTGCCTTTGGAGCGGCTGTTGACGTAACTCTCATCTCCCCGAACACTTTGACAAAAAAGATTCAATTGGGCAAAGGAAAGCATCCGTCATACACATCTATAATAAGAAGTTTCCTCAGTGGAAATGACAAATGTGTGGCTCTTGTTTTTTAATCCGCGCTTAATGATAAGTGAACTTAGCAAAGGGTTCACACTTTTTCAAGCGCCTGCCCGTCCATTAAACCATGCTTCGAAATCCCAGTAGCAGGCAAAGTTGTCAGAACAGAAACAAAGTGAATATTTCAAGTATTTAAATGCAACATTACATACTAGTAGCCTACTGGTAGGTAAGAGGTAAGTAGGTACACAGTAGCTGGTAGGAGTGTTAGTAGTAGGTAGTAGTTGAGCTCCACCTATGCACGTGCCATGTCATTGAACAGAAACGCCCTTTACTTTGTCGACTCACACGAACTCGGGTCATCGGAGAATCCTGATGCGAATGTTAGGGCTACCGATATATACCGAGGTATATGCAGCTGGGAAAAGAAGGCGCTGTATCATGCGACTGCTCCTTCATAACCATTGACCCTGAAACAAGATCTCTACTAACATTTACGATCTATCAACTCCATCGCAATGTTCAGCCGACTTGCTCGATGTCCAGGGTAATTTGATACTCTCATGACTCTCCCAACTATGCTAATTGCTATATTATCCACAGCACCTGGCTTCTTGGCCGTCCTGGTCCTTTAAGCGCCGCAGTCTCTGGGAAGAAAACGTACAGTCTGGGCTCTATGCTATCCCAGGAAGCCAAAAGAAGGCAAAGGGAAGCCCAATCACAAAACGGGATACAAATCCAAAAGTCCGCCCACAAAACAACTATTCACCGTACAGAAACATCTCAGATTCGCATGGAACGCCAGGTCTTGGATGGCAAAAGTACGACCCAATATCGCACCTTGTAAGTGAAGCTGCGCTTACGAGATTGAGGTCGCTAACATTTGGTCTTGGGGTGAAGTCCTAATATTTGGTTACGGTGAGTAGACGGCCACTCTTAATCGCTTGCTTAAAGCTCATGGGTTTCTAGGGATAACTGCCAGTGCAGCCAATGCGTTAATCAGGATACAAAGCAAAGGAATGTTGACACTTTCCAGGTGGGTGACCACTTAATTCTACGTCACATTGAGCGCCATGTAGCTAACTGATACACGGCTTAGTTGAGAGAGGAGGACCTCAAGGTCGTCGATTTCAAAGAAACAGAGGACAAAGTCCATGTTAACTGTAAGAGCCGATTTGATTTTAGGTGGCGTTATCGATAAAAGCTGACTGCCATTAGGGTCTGATGGCCACGAAAGCCAACATCCGCTGTCATACCTCCACTGCTGGTTCAAAGGAGCATACGCCGAAGAGTTTGGTAAGGATCAGTAAGCTCGTCATCACTAACCTACTTGCAAAGTCGAGATCTCTAACAGTTTAGTATGATCCGATTGTGGGACTCATCCATTGAGACTCAGCCACCCTCAGTTCCTTACAACCAATTCTTCGTCGACCACGGTTGGGGAGCCATTGGTGAGCTCACGAGAAAGATTGTAGGGCATTTTGAACCTTATAACCATGGTGCAATAGCTTATGTATCTTAGCGTATTCACGGCTTCTGCTTCGTTACAGATGCACCAGTCTATCCCGAGTCCACGGAAGATCTCCTAAAGCGCCTGGGTCCGATCAGAAATACACACTATGGCGGCTTTTACGACTTTACGCCAGATCTTTCTATGGCTGATACAGCTTATACAAACCTCGCTCTGCCAGCTCATACAGATACTACATATTTTACCGAGCCTGCAGGCTTACAAGCATTTCACTGTCTCTCACACGAGCCAGCTCCGGGTGAAGCGCTTGAGGAAGGGGAGTCCTTAGGCGGAGAGTCGCTCCTTGTTGACGGCTTCAATGCTGCCATAACTCTAAGAAAGGAGAACCCTTGGGCTTTCAAAACTCTGGCCCAAGTTGAGCTGCCGTGGCATGCAAGCGGTAACGTAGGGATATCTATCTCTCCAGACAAGGTGTATCCTGTCATTGAGCAGGAGGCAGGCGGGCATCTGAAGCGAATTCGTTGGAATAACGATGATCGTGGTGCTGTGAATCCCTACGAGGCTAAGGACTGGTACGCCGCGGCTCGGGTGTGGAATGAGATATTGCGCCGCAAAGAGAATGAATATTGGTTCAAGTTAGAACCTGGAAAGATCGCCAGTAAGTGGAGAGATGCCTTGCTGAAATTACAGTCACATATTGACCTTTTCTAGTCTTCAACAATTGGCGAATTTTGCACGGCAGAAGTGCGTTCAAGGGTATTCGGCGAATCTGCGGCGCCTACAGTAGGTCTTCTATTAATGCTCTGAACTTTGCATATTGGCTGACCCTCCACTCAACAGTCCCCTATGATGACTTCGTGTCTTGCTATCGGGTGACAAACACCCCAAGAGGTCGGGTCGCTGGACGTAGCTACAACAACAGAGCGAGGATGGGTTACAATGGGGGCAAGGGCATCAAAGACGTTACTGGAGCTCCCCAACAAGAAGCGCCTGCCATAGAGAAAGTTGAAGCCTGGTAAATAAGGAAGCGATTCGATTTTAGCTGGATGGCTGTTGAATTTACCAGTCAGACTCATGAACCAGAGCTCTAGTTACATAACTCCCCGGCTGTAGCAGGTCGTGTCTGTGTCATTCAATGTTAGACAGATAGAGGCGTCATTTTATCCGCGATAATCGCCAGCCTGAATGCAGAGACAAGGTTATGTCAAATTTGGCACAGCTGCTAATGGCGGGGGACGCTGTAACCCCGCGAAATCCATTCAGCCACTTGACAGACTCAACCCGGCGAGATATGGAAAATTGATCAGAGCTGAATGGACAGTAGCAGGGCCGAAAGTGAACATCCGGGCCCTGACAGAAATAGCAGTCACACTAAAGGCATTTCTCCACGAAGCTGTTACAGCGTGTCACAAAGCATCAAGTCTTACAACGGCTAATCTGTGAATGACGCCTGTTCATAGGTGCGCCAGACGGTGGAGACGGCTTTGTGCCTTGCTAACCTCCAGACCTCAAGGTAATACAGTGCGTTGGGTCCACTGAAGGGACAAGGGCTGTGAGAGATTCTTGGTCTGGTGTGGTTTGGTCCGTCAATAAAATGTCGCAAAATGAGAATAAATATTCAATTGGGAGAAGAGCCGAGGATGTTTGGTATTGGACAAAAGTTACAGGACTATATAAAGTATGACGGTGCCCTATAAATATTGATTTGGGTCCGTAACCTTGTCGACCTGAAGCTTATCACTCAAACACCAGAAGCTCGAGCGTAACAACTTCAATATTGTCTGAGTTCAACGTGATTCGCAATTATGGATCCTAAAACTGGTGCATTTCACCATGACAACACGGCTGTACCAGATACTTCCAGAGTTCTTCCACTCTTCTCTCTCAAAGGTCGCACAGCTATTGTCTCCGGCGCTGGTGCAGGTATTGGCCTCGCCATTGCTCAAGGGCTGGCAGAGGCTGGCGCCAATGTGGCTATTTGGTACAATAGCAATAAGCAAGCACTGAAAGAAGCTGAGAAGATCGAAAAGGACTACGGTGTCAAGTGTAAGCCAGCCTATCCCTTGTTGGTGGCATCGTGACTTATGAAGTACCAGGCCGCGCATACCAAGTCAATGTTATCTCACCTGAAGCAGTTGGCAAGGCCATTAACGACATCATCTCCGACTTCAATGGTCGTCTAGATGTGTTTGTGGCCAATTCCGGTATTGCCTGGGAAGACGGGCCCTTTATCGACGGGCCAACTGAGAGAGCTCGCCGTGTTATGGAGGTCAATGTGGACGGTGTCATGTGGTGCGCCAAGAGTGCAGGAGCACATTTCCGAAGACAGAAGAAGGAGGGCACAACGCTGGATGGAAAGAAATTGACCAATTTTGTGGCGGGCAGCTTCATTGCTACAGCATCTATGAGTGGAAGCATCGTCAACATTCCTCAATTGCAAGCAGTATACAACGCTTCGAAGGCAGCCGTAATCCACTTCTGTAAGTGTTATATCGTTTGAAGAACTGAGTTTCGACGGCTGACTGTATGATCTCAGGTAAATCTCTGGCGGTGGAATGGACAGGCTTTGCTCGTGTCAACACTGTATCACCTGGATATATCAAGACCGAGATCACAGATTTTATCAGCGAGGAGGTCAAGAACGTTTTCAAGGAAAAGACAGTCGCTGGGTGAGTCTGGACTGGCATCGAAATTTGACTTGCTGTTGACTAACACCATAGACAGACGTCAAGGCGAAACTGGAGAGCTTAAGGGAGCTTACCTGTACCTGGCTAGTGATGCCTCATCCTTTACAACTGGCCATGACCTGGTCGTTGATGGTGGTTACTGTATTCCTTAAAGATGGATACAGAATGTTCGCAGTTGAGCATTCATGCCATGCCATGCCATGCCATGTTTGGATAGCAAGACTAGTTGCCTAACTACTCATGTATTGGCGCAAGGGAGTTTGGAGAACAGATATTAAAGGTATGACATTGCATATGAATACATATGTCAAGTCATTTTGGCAACTACCCTAAGACTTGGCTGAGGTCAGATAATGTGCTCAAAGTTATCATCTTAGGCCAGAGACGCCAAGTTGGCTTTATCAGGAAATGACCGTTCCAAGCAAGGTTCCGATGATCTGCATCTGGAAGAACTATTCAGCAGCCAAGAGGGCAAAGACATGTTGGCGAGCTGTAATAATGAACTGTCGATGATCGTAACACGGGCTAGGAATGTGAACATTCAGGTCCTCGTCAATCATCGTCGTATTTCGGATTCCTCTGTCTCAGGGATTTTTTGGTAGGCTACGCTCAAGGCCGCATAGGTTCGTTCGAAATACATTGATATGCGCGCAAATGCGCAGAATGTTACGAAGTACTCCGTAAAAGATGTTGCACCATTCACCGCTCTCTTCGTCAAAACCGTTATCCCACTTGGATCGTTGATAAGATTCTCTAGGTCCAGCCAAATATCCGATTTTAGCAGCAAGTTTCAGGGCAGTCGGTCGGTACTTTAGCTTTCCCTTCCCCGTAGGACTCAATTAACGTTGCGCAGTAGCGCAAAGAGAGAATGAAAAGTTCAGCTGTGTCATTCCATTGGTAAACGAATGATGGCCACGCGAGCGAGCCTCCTGCTTTAATTACTGCTATCTTCTAATTGGGCCGAGGTCAGCATCTGTCATTGAAACATGAGGAGCTGTCAGATTCAGAAGAGCTGCCCAGGCGAGTAAGTACTGTGCCCGCATTCACTCGTATATCTCCACCTGCCAACGCTGGATCAGTACTTAAGCTCCCTCCCGGGGTACCTAAGCCCGGTGGCCCCTTCCTGAAGAATCGCTCAACCGTCATCTCCCAACTGGCAGTGGCTGCTGAGTTCTTACCTTCCAACCTGACCTCCCGCCGCTCTTTCTGGTCAGCCCTACCTATATCCAGTAACCGCCTTCTTTCAAACCCGGCCACGGCATTTGCTCAGAAACTTCCCTTGCGCATCGCCGTCTGCCTTTCTACATAGTCGCATTGCATTGTTTCTTTGTGCAAGTTTCTATAAGTATCACACATTCATCGATCATTACTATCAACGCCTTCACCGCCGCCAGCTCCATCCTCCTCTCGCCTCATTGCCCCCTAGCCGCCCACCATGGACTCTGAAGGCGAGGCCAACACTGCGCCCTCTACTGAGGAGCGACGCAACGTCCAGGTCGACAATGCCATTCGCGCCATTCAGGAGAAGAAGCCGGTCCCTGAGATCGATTTTACCATTCACACCATGGAGGACAACACCCAGGTCAGCACCTTGGAGCGTGTGTGCAAAGGTTCGTGATATCCCCTCCAGCTGTCGCCGCCTCAACCCCGCCATCATCATAGACAACAAATGTTGTCGCAGATTTGTCCACAATATTCCTAGCTACCACTCAGGCTTGTATTATGGTACCTGCAACATTACAGCCATGGTCTTTCTCATAAGCTTCTCGCACTCTGACTAACTCTAATTTATCGCATTTTCACAGATGTCCAAGCACCTGCCATGTACAAGCCTACCGACGAGCAATTCTTCGATGATGACACTCATTCCAAGCCCAACCTTCAGTTTCTTAAGCAGCATTTCTATCGTGAGGGCCGTCTTACCGAAGAGCAGGCTCTTTGGATTATCAGGAAGGGTACCGAACTTCTGCGCGCCGAGCCCAACCTCCTGGAGATGGACGCTCCCATTACTGTCTGTGGTGACGTGCATGGACAGTACTACGATCTGATGAAGCTGTTTGAAGTCGGAGGTGACCCCGCTGAGACCCGATACCTCTTCCTCGGTGACTATGTCGACCGAGGCTACTTCAGCATAGAGTGTGTCCTCTACCTCTGGTGTCTGAAGATCCATTACCCCAAGACCCTCTGGCTGTTGCGAGGAAACCATGAATGTCGCCATTTGACTGACTACTTCACCTTCAAACTCGAATGCAAGCATAAATACTCAGAGACTATCTACGAGGCCTGCATGGAGTCGTTCTGCGCTCTTCCCCTTGCTGCTGTTATGAACAAGCAGTTTCTTTGTATTCATGGTGGATTGAGCCCCGAGTTGCATACACTCGACGACTTGAAGAGCGTTCGTTGAACCGCATCCTGCCCACATGTCTGCGACTAACCTTGATAGATTGATCGTTTCCGCGAGCCCCCTACTCAGGGTCTTATGTGCGACATCCTCTGGGCTGATCCTCTCGAAGACTTCGGCCAGGAGAAGACAAGCGACTATTTCTTACACAACCATGTCCGAGGATGCTCATACTTCTTCTCCTATCCAGCTGCTTGCGCCTTCTTGGAAAAGAACAACCTTCTTTCTATTATCCGTGCTCATGAGGCCCAAGATGCCGGTTATCGCATGTACCGCAAGACCCGAACCACCGGTTTTCCAAGTGTTATGACTATTTTCTCCGCCCCCAATTACCTCGATGTCTATAACAACAAGGCAGCAGTACTCAAGTATGAGAACAACGTTATGAACATTCGTCAGTTCAACTGTACTCCTCATCCTTACTGGCTACCCAACTTCATGGACGTTTTCACCTGGTCTCTTCCTTTTGTTGGAGAGAAGATCACCGATATGCTCATCGCCATTCTCAGCACCTGTTCTGAGGAGGAACTTAAAGAAGAGACGCCCTCCTCAACCTCGCCTGGCCCCGCTTCGCCAGCTTTGTCCAACGACCCTGAGTCGATTGAAGTGCGACGCAGAGCCATCAAGAACAAGATTCTCGCCATCGGTCGGCTGTCTCGTGTATTCCAGGTGCTTCGCGAGGAGTCGGAGAAGGTCACAGAACTCAAGACTGTATCTGGTGGAAGACTGCCCGCGGGAACACTCATGCTTGGTGCCGAAGGCCTCAAGAACGCAATCAATGGATTCGAGGATGCGCGAAAGGTTGATTTACAAAACGAGAGGCTGCCGCCCACTCACGAAGAAGTCGTCAAGCACCAGGAGGAGGAGCGAAACACCGCGCTTCAGAAGGCTGCCGAGGATGCCAACAATGACAAGAAATTGCAGCAGCTCTCCAGAAGACTCAGCACGTAAGTCATTCAATATCATGGCATAAGTCAAACCACTAATAGTCGTCAGTGATCGTAAGAACCGGGCTCCAACGTCATGAACATAGTTGTACAGTAGCATATACGTTATTGTTATAAATACTGATGAAGGACTTGGATGAACGATTAATTATCATTCTCCCATATATGAAGGCTGCTAAAGGCTGCCAGGTTTTCCTCTTCATCGTGACTTGGCACTCTGGTCATCACACTAGCAACGAAAAGTCAGGTTGTTATTACTGGTCCCACGCTCTGAACTTGGACAAGGGACAAGGCAGGATAGACGACAACGGCGTTTTCCTGAGTGCCAAGTAGATATGCAAATAGCATTGAGCACACTGTCTATAAGTGGATGTGCTACCAGAAGAGTCTCAAGTTGGCGATGCACCTTAATGAATACATGAATGCTTTTCAATAGTCGATTGCCTTGTGTCTGAAGATAGAAGCTCGGAGAATCTCTCTTGATGAACTTCGATGTAAGCCGCTGCAATCCTTCTTTTGATGCTGGCGGTGGACTTTACAGCCATAGTACATCTTGCTGACATCTTAGAGCCTCTCTTCGCCCATCCCATAAGTACCTAGGTAATAGTTGACCAGCGATGGCTGAGTGATAAAAAAAACACCAAAACATTGCCATGTTGTAGGATCAATTATATTGAAGTACTCTTGTTTTTAATTGTTACAATAAACTAAAGATAACTAGTTCAACATAAAGACATAAAACATCAGCTTTAAAGTAAGTATTGTAAGATATCCACTTAACAGGTATTGATTAATGGCCATCTCCCAGGCTGTTCATATAGGGTAAGCCCATTAGTTGTAGCATCTGGAATCGTCACGTGATCTGGCGTTTTGTATGTCACGTCGCTCAAAGAGCCCTTTGCTTGACTTGAATTATGTCAAGTATTCTTTGTTCTCGAAGATTGCCCCCCTAGCCTGAAGGCTCACCCGTACTCGATTGGCAAACTGCGCTATGCGCTGATCTCCAAGATTCATCTCCGCGCTTCCATGACGCGCGTTGTCACATCTCCTTTTCAATACCTTGCGCCTCAGCAGATAACACCAACATCATGGTGCAATCAGGTGTCGAACAACCACCGTCGAATGGCGAAAAAGGGCCTGCTCCTGAAACGCGCAAATTCAAGGCCTCAGATCTTCCTCTACCTTCGGCGACAAGAGCAGCAATAGAATCGCTGGCCCATAGCTTCAAGAAGGAGGGAGCCTACGATTCTATTCGAAAGCAAGTTTGGGACAAGTTTGAAGCCAGCGTACGACGAGATAGGAATTCATGCGCAATGCCATACTGATGCATAATTAGGATTACGAGGCTCAGGTCACGAAATCGATTCTCGAGGTGGCCGAGCAGGAAATTGAGCGCAACCCACAGCAGCTTCTCACCCTTGATCGAAGAAAGGCTGCGGCTCTAATCGACGGTGCTCTAGAGAGATCCGGGGTTTATCACAAAGCAGAAGATGTCATTAGCCAGCTGATCGACGTGGGCGCCATAGAGGAGCGAATCCGCGAAACACGCCGGGCCGAAGTCGGCGAGGAAGCAGCTGAGGCAGAAAAGCTTCGGGGCGCCAAAACAGACGAAGAATATGAGGCCGAGACTGAGGCTCGACGTGCGGAACGTGAAAAAGTTCGGGAAGAGCTGCGACAAAAAGAAGCTGCAATCGAGGAGGAGAAACGAAGAATCCTCAAAGAGGAACGAAAGAAGGAAGAGCGAGAGCGAGAGAAAGCCGAAATCAAACGCCAGGAAGAAAGAGATGAGCGTCGCCGAAAGCGCGAGCAAGAGCGCGAGGAGCGTGAAAGACTACGAGATATTGAAAGAGAAAAGCGACACAAGGAGCGCGAGCGCGACAGGGACCGAGACCGTGATACAAGGGATAGAGATAGGGACAGGGACCGAGACAGAGATCGCGACAGGGATCGCCATCGTGATCATGACAGACATAGGGATGATCGCCACAAGGAGAAATCAGCGGTTTCTACAGAGCTAAAAGAGAAGCTCTCCAAAGAAGAACACGATCGACTGGAGCAAGAGGCTCTGGCCGATTTACTCCGCGAAAGCTCCAAGCCCGCACAAAAGCAAGAGTTGGAGATTGATTCATCCCTCGCACCACCGCCACGCAAAACGGGGCCTGTTTCGGCCATCAACCCGATCAGGCGAGAACGCTCGTCGATTGCAGAAGCCCGCAAGACCAGCGATGCAGGGCTCGGAGCTGAACGTGATGGCCATGGAACACCTGCACAGGCCAAGAGACCTGAAGCGGACGATCGCAAGCCGAGTCGTAGTACTTCTCGGATCGTGGACCGCGATGGGGATCGCGAGAGAGATAGAGAGCGTGATCGCTCGAGGGAACGAGATTCTCGTCGCGATAGACGCTCAAACTCACCACAAAGAGGCATCAGTGGCCCGCGTATTCGGGACAGACGTGACAGAAGCCGGTCTCGAGCTAGAAGGGAGAGGACTCGTTCACGAACTGGTAGAGAGGACCGTGCGGTTAGAAGCCGATCACGACCCAAGTATGACCACTACGAGCGAAGCAGATCCCGAAGACGTAATCGTAGCCGTTCTCGAGCGAGAGTGGTCGAACGAAGGGAGAGAAGCCGATCAAGACCTAGACCCGAGCGTCGAGATCGAAGCAGAGACAGAAGAGACCGCTCACGACTGCGCTCCGATAGACGGGAAAGGAGCCGTTCCCGCACTGGACGTGATCAAAGCAGGTCCCACGACACTCGTCTTGGCGGAGCTGACCATTATGACCCCCGCGAAAGAGACCGTGATCGAGACAGAGACCGGCCTCGTGACCGAGAGCGCGACCGCGAGAGATCAACTCTGAGACGCAGAAGCCGAGAAAGACCTCGTGACGACCGTGACCAAGCAAAGCCTCGTGAGAAGGAGCAGGAAAAAGCGGCCCCTGAGAAAGAACGCGAAAGAGAAAAGGAAAAACCAACTGAGCGCCGTAGTCGTTCTCCCTCACGAGCCACTGCCAGTGCCGCACGACCGAGCTCTAGCAAAGCTCAGGATGGCCTCGAGGAGTGGAAGATGGAAGAAGTCAGAAAGCGGGAAAAAGAAGCCAAGGCTTATCTGGCGGCTCAGAAGGATGCCAGGAACAAAGGCCTCCCAATACCTGGACTCGATGACAAGAAAAGCAGTGGTGAAATATCTCCTGATCTACGCCGCCGGCGGATTCAAGACGATATCGACAGATATACGCCCGGAGGTCGCGAGGAGCGGAGGAGAAGTCGTTCTAGGAGCCGCAGCCGACAACGGGATGCAACAAAAGATCGAGACCGGGAAAGAGAAAGAGAAAGAGAAAGAGAAAGAGACAGAGACAGAGACAGAGACAGAGACAGAGACAGAGACAGAGTTGATCGTGATAAGCCGAGGGGTGGAGACAGCTATCGCGAGCGGGATAGGGACAGAGATCGTGATAGGGACCGAGACCGAAGAGACAGGGACAGAGATCGCGAAACGGATCGACGTGATCGTGACAGGGATCGTGAAAGAGAACGATCGAGGGATAGGAGGAACAGGCGAGAGCGTAGTCTATCCCCTCGACGAGAAAGGCGGGGAAGTAGAAGTCGCCGTTGATAATGCGTTGGTTTTCACATAATAATCATAGTCTTGGCTGTTTTCAGGCGCATTGGAGGTCTAGCTATACAGCTGGAAGCTCGTTTGCCATGGGTTGGGTGGATTAATAAGATACCCCTTTAAACATGTATTGATAACCATAGCAGGGCTCTTCGAACAGTGCAGCATTACAACTCTGCACGACTGATAGGATACAGAAATTCATTAAAACGTTTGATCATTATTAAAAGTCTATACAATGTCTAAGTGAAATCGTCATCAATGGGCAAACCACGACGAGGTCACCCGAGTTACATGCTCGCTGGATAAACCATGGTAGTGCCATAACGCACCAGCAATTATCACGGTGATGAAACCCAAACATCCAATCATGATACCTTTGCGTAAAGTAGGAGACATCTCGCCCTCTCGATTTAGGGTACCGGTACCCCATGCAACCGCCTCTTCCCACATGTTGAGGAGTTGTTCGTAACCGATCGAATACAGAACAAGACCCATAAGGGCAACGGCGTATCCCAGTGTTTGTGTAAGGGAGATGTGAGTACCCCAAAGAACAACAGAAGCAGCCACGAGAAGGATGCTCTTAAGAATACCACTCAGGGTCATGACAAGTCCTGATGTCTTACCAATCTGAATAGAAGTCAGCGGTGAAAGTGAAATGCGGGGGACAGGATTCTGGCTTACAAGGAAGACGCTGATGACATTCAAGAAGAATGCAAGGCAAGCATTGGCAAGCAGTACGCCATAGCCGGCTTGAGCTGCATCTTCCCATTTAAACCGGGGGCCTTCACTAAACAAGACAACGAACATGTTCATAAGGGTACAAACAGGTGCGAAATAGTAGAGGCCGACAAGAGGATCCATACGGAGACCCTCGGCACTGAGCATGACCTGGATCATGACAATACGCACGGCTTCGGCAATAGTGCCGCACATCTGAAAGAGAAAACCCCACCAGGAGAACTCGATCTCTCCAAAACTGGAAATGGCGACACCAGCAACAATGAGCATGATGTTGCCAAACGTCTTACTATCCGGCTGAGCGACACCCCACATCCACGAAGCCACAAGAGTGCAGACAGGGCCGGTAGATTTGAGCATCTGAATAAAAGCAACCGATAGGTAGAGGTACACGATGTTGGAGAAGACGAGTGAAGCCGAGTAGAGGACGCCGATAGGGAGAATGGTCCGTATGTAGAGTCGTCGAGTGATTGGGAGTGAATGGCGTGAATCAAGAAGAGAAGTAGTGCGAGCAAGCAGTTGCGTTGCCATTGTTGCAAATACAAGATGCCATGTTGTGAGGATGATAGCTGGTAGCTTGTTAGTTTCAAGTCATGATATACTACGCATGAGATGAGCAAGTAGAATACTCACGATATCCTATGAGGGTGAGTTAGCAAACTAATTCAATATTGACACAGCTTGATTGATAGCAGGAAACTTACGGAATCCAGCAGTGTCAATTAGCCACTTGTTGAAGAGAATCGTGGTATTGGAAAAGAAAATCCATGTTCTGTTCAAACATCATGTTAGACATCCCCGCACACATAGAACTTGTCCACATCTAGAGTTCATCACATACATTATGTAGACGGACGCGTGTATTCCTGAACCTGTTCCCTGGTTTAGAGGCTTTTCTGAGAATCCATCGTCGACAGCCTCAGACCCACGCGACATCCTGTTGTTGGCCTCCAGATCATTTGATCCCGCCATTGTT